CTCCTTGTCTTCTTCACGGGGTTTCTTGTGAAGAGAGATCTTCTTCCTCCTCCTCCTCCTGAAGCCACCCCTAAAGGACTGGAAAACCACAGTGAGGGGATGGCTCTTGTGCAACCAAATCCTGTCCCTTTTCCTGGGGAAACTGGTGCATTCCCATGGGAATTTCCTGCAGGTCAGGAGCTTTTGGTGCAATTCCCTGTTGGAGGATGCTGGGCCAGATGGGGCAGACATGGACCCATCTTTGGGAGTGTCCAAGGCCAGGTTGGACACTGGGACTTGGAGCCACCTGGAATCGTGGGAGGTGTCCCTGCCCATGGGGTTGGATCTGGGTGGGTTTTGAGGTCCCTTCCCACCCAAACCATTCCATGATTCCATGACTGTGACACAGGGCGCGAGCGTGCGAACGCCGGTGGTGGCTTAGATCTGGTTCCAGGAGCTCTGGCAGGGCTTGCAAACCGTGTTTGGAGTCAGTTTGGATTCACATTCCAGTGCTCCTGGCTTGGCCGGGAGGATTCCATCCAGATTCCACGCTGTCGTCAGACAGAACAAACTGTCCCTGCTCTCCTTCCCATCTGGAGGGGGACGCGCGGAGCCCCAACCACAGCCTGGTCTCCTCCTGCAGGGACCTTCCAGCCATCCTCGACCTCTGCTTGAGGTGAGGGGCGTGAAAACTTGTCTGCTTGGATAAAAAGGAGGTTTTTTGAAGAGTTTGAGGTGGTGACGTTGCAAGGGGGAGAGAAAAGGAAGTGGTTTTGAGGTAGAACTGGTGGTTGGATTTGATGATGTGAAAGGTCTTTTCCAGTTTAAATGATTCCGTGATTCCACGAAATGGGGGGGAAAGTTTTTCCTAGGGGAACCAGGGACAGGGCTGGGAACTGGCTCCCAGTTTAATTATTTCATTCCAACATTTCCTTCTCTTGAATTCTACACTTCATATTGGATGCAAGCTCATGTATGTGTATAAAACCAATTTTAGAGCTTTTTAATACCTTTTTTTCTGGCATTTTTTTCAAACCATCCTCTACTTCTCCGTTTTTATAAAGCTGTACCTGCACCTCTCCCTGTTCCTCCTCAAGGTGTTCTTGGAACCCTGGGAAGCTGCAAGTCCCCAGCCCCGAGCACATCTGCAGCTTCCTGATCTTATCCCACTCCCACATCACCGTGGTGAAAGCTCCTTTTAATTTTTTCCTCCTCTTTTTTTCCCCTTTCCCTCCTCTCCTTTTCCTTCCCCCCCACCCCCCAGTGGATGTGCTGTCGAGTTTGATTTATGGCCTTGAAAGGGAGACTCCAGTTTAAAGAATTAATGGTATTTGCATATTTGATTTGGAAACTCCCCCGGCAGACCCGCGGCAGCCCCGCGCCGCCGGCTCTTTTTTCCTTTTCCCTTTTTTTCCTTTCCCCTCGGCCCGTTCAGATTTAGCAGCAGAGGTGAAAAGTTGAAGCAGTAAAACCAATAAAACCACATTTATGTGACAGATAAATCGTCTGGAGGCAGCTCTCCCTGAGCCTTCGGGCTTCCTCCTGCAGGACCTCTCCCCTCCGGAGCGCGACCCGCAGCCGGGCCGGGAGCGCCGGCAGCCAGGGCCAAAGGTGCTGGCCCCGGCCGTCCACGGACCTGCCGAGCCAAAAAAGATGGATGTGGGCAAAGAGTTGGAAAATACACAGCCCATCCGTCACTGTCGGGAGCCACCTGGGGGTGGTCTGGCTCTGAGAGAGCTCCGGGAAGGTCCAGGCTGAGGTGGGAGCGCTGGGAGTCACGGAATCAATATGGTTGGAAAAGCGCTCGAGATCAAGTCCGGCCTTTCCTCAGCACTGCCAAGGCCACCGCTGATCTACATCCCGAAGTGTCACGTCCTTCAAATCCTTCCAGGGACAGGGCCTCCATCAGGTTGGAGAGCCCTTTCCATGAGGAAACTCCTGCTGATGCCCACCCTGAGGCCGTTCCCTCTGCTCCTGTCCCTGTTCCCTGGAGCAGAGCCCGACCCCCCGGCTGTCCCCTCCTGGCAGGAGCTGTGCAGAGCCACAAGGTCCCCCCTGAGCCTCCTGTGCTCCAGGCTGAGCCCCTTCCCAGCTCCTCAGGAATTCTCCAGCCCCTTCCCAGCTCCTCAGGAATTCTCCAGCCCCTTCCCAGCTCCTCAGGAATTCTCCAGCCCCTTCCCAGCTCCTCAGGAATTCTCCAGCCCCTTCCCAGCTCCATTCCTTGCCCTGGCCACGCTCCAGCCCCTCAGGGTCTCTCTTGTTGGGAGAGGCCCAAATCTGCCCCAGGATTTGAGGTTGTGCAGTGGCAGCACAGGGGACAGGCACGACCCTGGTCCTGCTGCCACCCCAGTGCTGGCACAGCCCTGGTGCCCTTGGCCTTCTCGGCCACCTGGGCTCGTGTGGAGCTGCTGTCGATGGCTCCAGGTCACTGGAGTTTCTCTGCCAGTGGGAGCCATTCCCTGTGTCCTGTCCCTGCAGGCCTTGTCCCCAGTCCCTCTGCAGCTCTCCTGGAGCCCCTCCAGGCCCTGCCAGGGGCTCTGAGCTCTGCCTGGAGCCTTCCCTTCTCCAGGGAACATTCCCAGCTCTCCAGCCTGGCTCCAAAGCAGAGGGACTCTAGCCCTGCAGGAGCTCCCTGTCCCTCTGAGCTCCTGCACTGCTCCCAAGCCTCTGCCAGAACAACTCCCAACATTTTAATTCCATCTTCTCCAAACCCTTCCTAATCCTCCCTTTTTTTTATTTCCTTTCCTCCTTCATCCCTTTCCTCCTGGCTCTTTATTCCCTCTCCACACAAACAGCTACCTGGCCCCTGGATGCTCCGGCCGCGCACTTTCCATGGCAAGAACTCCTTCAGGCTTTGTTTGGGATTTGCCCGAGGCACGTTCAGCCTCCCGGGGGCCACCAGCAAGAGGTCTTTGCCGCGTTGTGGGGGTTCCCTTTGAGCCTGTACAGCCAAGCGACTCCTCCCAGCAGCCGCCAAACCCCGCGGAAGCGTTTTGGCCCCGGCGCTCGGCCTGAAAAGCGCCTGTGAAATCATATTTAAGGTTGTCTCTCTCGAAGGTGCCCCCTTGGAAAAACCTCCTGCCAATGATGTTCAGCTCGGGTTTGTAGTTCAACACAAAGGCCCCGCCGGACAAAGCCGAGCGGGACCCGGGCTGGAAAAGCCCTCTTAGGTCCCGGCTAATCCATCCCCCCCGCCAGCCCGGGGGATTGTTCCCGACAGCTTGTTTTCCTTGCCCTGACCTACATAGTCAAAAAGAATCTTGTTGCACATTTTTGTTTTGTATCTGGAGGTCTCGGAGGAGCTAAATCCCCTTCTTGGCGGGGCAGGATGCGTTGTTAAACAGCGCCGGGGCCTCCAGGAAAACCATGGCGACGCGGGGACAATGAGGCCTCTATGGGCCCCGCTTGGCCGCGGGATGGGCCCGGCCTCTCCCGGCTCCGGTGGTGGGCACCGGGACGCGCCGAGCGGGCGATGAAGACGTCCACGCGCTTGGCAGCCTGTCCCCAAATAGAGTGGTCACAGCGGCGCTCCAAGACGGGATCTTTGGGAGGGGGGAACGGCAGGAGCTCTTAATTAACCTGCTGTGGATGGGGCAGAGGTGAAGGCGGCATCCCGGGAATCCTGGGCCCTGCCCCTGTGGGTGGGTGGAGAAGACAAGTCCTCGTCGAGGTGAGGAGATCCTCATGCGGGGAGGGCAGGGGAGAGCCTGGTTTTTAAGGAAAACAAGGATGGGAATGGTGTGGGAAGAGGGCATTTAGGGAACTTGGACTGTGTCGTCATGGGTGGATGGAGAAGCCAAGTCCTCGTTGAGGTGAGGAGATCCTCATGTGGGGAAGGCAGGGGAGAGCCTGGTTTTTAAGGAAAACAAGGAAGGGAACAGTGTGGGAAGTGGGCATTGGACTGTGCCTTCATGGGTAAGTGGAGAAGCCAAGTCTTCATTGAGGGGAGGAGATCTTCATGTGAGGAGGGCATGGCAGCTCCTGGTTTTTTAAGGAAAATAAGGACAGGAGCAGTGTGGGAAGAGGGCACTTAGGGAGCTTGGGCATTTAGGGGACATCTCTAACCCATGGGTCAGGGATGGATGTGGAAATGCTGGGGGATGGTTGGATTTGGTGACCTTGGAGGGCTCTTCCAACCAGAATAATTCTGTGATGCACAGTGAATCCGTGCCCTCGTGGGTGGGTGGAGGAGCCAAGTCCTCACTGAGGTGAGGCGATCCTCATGTGAGGAGGGCATGGCGGCTCCTGGCTTTTTAAGGAAAATGAGGATAAGGACAGTGTGGGAAGAGGGCATTTGGGCCTGGGCTGTCGTTTGCCCATCCCACACCTGGCTGGGGGGAGCGGGGTCATTTGTGGGCACGAAGGGCTGCGGGTGGGAATTTTGGCGCTCTGGAGCAGGGACCGTCACGGATGGCCGAGTTAATCCCTTTTCCTTCCCCCGCTGCCAAGGCCTGGTGGTTTCTCTTACCAACGTCTGGAAAGCACCTGGGACTCCCAGCTCCGGGAGGTGCACTCACCCAGAATAACCCCCCGAGCTCCTCTGGGCTTTGGAGGCACTTCCAGAGCACTTGGAGGGGGTTGGGATGGGCCCAGGGTGGTGAGAAATCCATGGGGAATGGTTGGAACGACACTGGGGGTTGTTTGGGGACAGAAGCAGTTTGTGGTGATTTTGACCCCAAAAGTTTCCTCCTGCCATAGCTGAGAGCATCAGGGCACTGGAATTGTTTGTCACCCACGTCCTCGAGATGTCTCAGACCTCAAATCCCCAAAATTAGGGATCACAGAGCAGCAATGCTCTAACACAGCCCTGCATTAATCAATGTTAAATATTCATAAATTAATAATGAAGTGCAATCAAGTTGATGATGAAACCTAAACAAAATAATATGAAACAAATTAATAAAACCTGCATTCATTTTTTTTATGGACAACTCCACCTGCCCAGGACCTCCGCCAGCTTCCAGGGAAATGCCTGCTGCCTTTTCCAGCTTTTTCAAACCCCGTTTCTTTTTCCTTTCCAGCTCCTGGATTTGTTCATCCAGTGGGATTGGTCGACGTATTTGGCCGACTACGGACAGCCCACGTGCAAGTACCTTCGTGTGAACCCCACCACAGCCCTCGTCCTGCTGGAAAAGTGAGTGTGGCCCCCAAATCCCGGGAGAATTTCCACCCCCATCGTGCTTTAGCAGCGCTTTCTATCGCTGTGAGCAAAGATCTCTGCCCTGGGTGGACAGAGGGAGCTCACATGGAAAAATCCCATTTTATCTCGTCGACCCAAATCCCACATTTCAAAATCCAACGGCTCAGCTGCGGCTCCTTCTTTTTATTGGCTCTTAAGCAGAGTTTTCCTTGTCCTACCAGAAAATTTCGCTGTAAAGATGAACCTCCAGCTCCAAAATCCTTTCAAATGTGCTGAGCTGCAGGCAGGAGTGGCTATCCCAAATTTTTCAGTGTTTGGGCAATGCCACGAACAATTTTTGGTCATGAAATGGTTGGGCCACTTTGTTGTAGGTTCCCTTCCACCTGAGAATATTCTATTTTATTCCACTATATTTCTATTTCTTTTTATTTCTACATTTCTATTTCTATATTTTGAATTTTATTTATGTAGTTCTGTTTATATTTATTTCTATATTTCTATTTCTATTTGCTTCTATATTTATTTCTATTTCTGATTTTTATTTTTAATTATTTCTAAATTTCGGTAGTTCTGTATTTATATTTCTATGTATTTATTTTAAAAGTTTCTATTTCTATATTTTTACTACATTTCTACAGTTCTGTTTATTTCTACATTTATTTCTATTTCTGTATTTTTATTTCTACATTTCTGTTTTTTTATTTCTATTCCTGTATTTTTATTTCTATGTTTCTATGTCTATATTTTTATTTCTCTTTATTTCTATAGTTCTATTTTTTCTAGTTTTATTTCTATTTCTGTAATTTTTATTTCTACATCTCTGTATTTCTTTATATTTCTATTTCTATATTTCTATTTCTATTTCTATATTTTATTTCTATTTTATTTCTATTTCTATATTTCTATTTCTATCCTTTTATGTCTTTTTACTTCTATATTTCTATTTCTTTCTATTTTTATTTCTATTTCTAGATTTTATTTCTATTTTATTTCTATTTCTAGATTTTATTTTCTATTTGTTTCCATTTCTGGTTTTTTATCTCTATTTCTGTATTTCCATATTTTCATATTTCTATATTTCTATATTTCTATAGTCTATATTTCTGTATTTATTTCTATATATCTATATGTCTATATTTCTACATGTCTATATTTCTATATTTCTATATGTCTATATTTCTGTATTTATTTCTATATGTCTATATGTCTATAATTCTGTATTTATTTATATATTTATATATTTTTATATTTCTATATATCTATATGTCTATATTTCTGTACTTATTTCTATATTTCTGTATTTTTATATTTCTACATTTCTATATGTCTATATTTCTATATTTCTATATGCCTATATTTCTGTATTTATTTCTATATATCTATATGTCTATATTTCTACATGTCTATATTTCTATATTTCTATATGTCTATATTTCTGTATTTATTTCTATATTTCTATATTTTTATATTTCTATATGTCTATATTTCTATATTTATTTCTATATTTCAATATTTCCATATATCTATATTTCTATATTCCTATTTATTTCTATTTCCACATTTTTATCTCCACTTCTACTTCCATTTTTTTCCCCATTCCTATCCCTCTCTACATCTTTATTTCCATTTCTTTCCCTTCTCGGGGGCTCCCTCAATCCATCCTTTGAGGCCCAGCCGTTCACATGCTCCGCACGGCTCCATCCCAAGCCCTGGAGCGGTGCCGGGAACAGCGCCCGGGGCTCCGGGGTGGCTCCCGGGGGGCTCTGCCAGTCCTGCGGGCCGGCAGCGAGCCGGGAACGCCGCGGGATTTGCCGCAGGCCCCAGGAAAAGCGGGATTTGCTCTGCCTGTCACCCCTGCCCGTGGTGGGTCTCCCAGATGATCTCCGCTGGTCCAGCTCCAAGCTGGCTTGGGAAGGATCCACTCTGCTCCCGCTCCCGGCAGACCTCCCAGCTCGTTTTCCAGCTGGTGGGACAGAGAATGAGCCAAAAAGTGGGAATTTAGCGTTTTTCCGAGCGGCTCCTGGCACGGGCGCTGCAGTGCTGGGTCCTGCATGGAGGAGAGGGCAGGAGGGGATCCTCGTGGGATCATGGAATGGTTTGGGTGGGAAAGGGACCTTAAAGCCCATCCAGTTCCGTGGGCAGGACACCTCCCGCTGTCCCAGGCTGCTCCAAGCCGTGTCCAGCCTGGCCTTGGACACTTCCAGGGATGCAGGGGCCTGGAATGTTCTTCTGGAAGTGTGGCCCCAATCCCAAACTCGTCGCCTCCTCCTCGAGGAGAAAGGGAGACCCCAAATCGCCTCGAACTGCTCCCCACGCTGCAATTCCATGGTTAATCCAAACCCAGCTGCACCCATGGGAGCACCCAAGGCCAGGTTGGATGGGCTTGGAGCACCCTGGGACAGTGGTGGCACAGGGGTGGCACTAGACGGGCTTTAAAGATCCCTTCCAGCCCAAATTATTTTCGGGATCTCTGGTTCTGTGAGCGACCTTGGGGTGTTTGTGAAATTTGGGGTTCCCTCGGTGTCATCGTGGTCCAGCTCCTCTCCACCAGAGGAGGAAAAAGCGGATGTCACAGCACCTCAGGACACCCCGAGGGCACCAGTGAGGGACACGGGGGCTAAACTGGCTTTAAAAGGACTTTCACACCTCATGGTGGTGTTTTTGTACTGGTGTTTTATGGGTTGTGCTACCCCCGGGTTATTCGGGAATGGGTGTGGAAGTGCTGGGGATGGTTGGATTTGGGGACCTTGGAGGGCTCTTCCAGCCGGGATGATTCTGTGATACACAGCGAATTCGTGACCCAGCGCCCAGGATGGGAAAGTGAGAGGTTTATTCAGAGCGAACAGCAAACTGCTAAAATAAAGGGACACCCAAAATCTGGGAGTTTGGCCATGCAGTATTTGGGAGAGCCAGGGAATTGAGGCAGGCAGTGAGCTGGGATCGTGGCAGAGGCTGGGAAGGTGGTGGGACAGCAGGAGAGCAGCTCCACGCTCAGTGGTGTTAAAATGTCACCAAACCCCAGCCTGGCTCATTTCATAGTGTCATAAAATCATGGAATGGTTTGGGTTGGAAGGAACCTTAAGGATCACCCCATTCTCACCCCTGCCATGGCAGGGACACCTCCCACTGTCCCAGGTGGATCCCAGCCCCAATGTCCAACCTGGCCTTGGGCACCGCCAGGGATCCAGGGCAGCCACAGCTGCTCTGGGAATTCCAGCCCAGCCCCTGCCCACCCTCCCAGCCAGGAATTCCTTGCCAAGATCCCAGCCCAATCTGCCCTTTGCCAGTGGGAGCCATTCCCTGTGTGCTGTCCCTGCAGGCCTTGTCCCCAGTCCCTCTGCAGCTCTCCTGGAGCCCCTTCAGGGACTCTGAGCATTCCCTGGATTTTTCCCTTCTCCAGGGGAGCATTCCCAGCTCTCCCAGAGCAGAGATGCTCCACAATCCTGGAATGGGTTGGGTTGGAAGGAACCTTAAGGATCACCCCATTCCCACCCCTGCCATGGCAGGGACACCTCCCACTGTCCCAGGTGGATCCCAGCCCCAGTGTCCAACCTGGCCTGGGACACTGCCAGGGATCCCCCTGAGGGGTCTCTGTCCATCCCCCACGAGCTCTCCTTGCTCCAGGCACATCCGCTGCCTCCCATCCCGCCGGGAATTCCGGGGGGAATTCTGAGCGGGGGGCCGGCTCAGCCTGTAACCTGTTCTCCTGGTTATCTCTGTCCCTTATCACCCCGGTGTGTCTCTCTCTCCCAGGATATCCCGGGTGTAAGTACGCGCTCGCTCGGGCTTTCACCCTCACCTGGCAGGGCCCCGATTGTCCGCTCTCAATGGAGCCCGAAACGCTGGAATTGCAAAGTGCCTCTGGAGCGGGGCCCTGCGCAACCCGATCCTCCCAAATGCACTAATTAGAGCTAAAAGAGGAGCTTTTACCCCGCTGCTTTCTTCCCCTCCCGGATTAATTGAGACAAAGCTCGGCTCTCTCCGAGGTGGTGTTTGTTGACAGGGGTGGGGACAGCGCCGAGCTCGCCTTTCCCTTCCTTTCACTCCTAATCCTGGGACCGGCTTCCAAACCTGCGGTTATCCCGAGGCTCTGCTCGGAGAAATAAAACCGGGGAGCTGCACAGCCCGTCCCAAATCCTGCAGGATTTTCTGTCCTGTAGGCAGCTTAATTAATTAATAATATTTAATGTCTCAGTGCTTGCACCTTCACGTGGTGTCTGGAGATCCCAGCAGCTCCCAGGCTTCACCAGATCCACCTCTGTGGGTTTGTTATGGACACTCCCAGTTATCCCAGAGCTCTTCTCAGGAAAAAAAAATGCCCATCCCAAATCCTGCAGGATTTTTTTCCTGTAGGCAGCTTAATTAATTAATAATATTTAATGTCTCAGTGCTTGCACCTTCACGTGGTGTCTGGAGATCCCAGCAGCTCCCAGGTGCTCCCAGACTTTTCCAGATCCACCTCTGTGGGTTTGTTATGGACACTCCCAGTTATCCCCGAGGTCTTCTCAGGAAAAAAAATGCCCATCCCAAATCCTGCAGGATTTTGTGTCCTGTAGGCAGCTTAATTAATTCATAATATTTAATGTCTCAGTGCTTGCACCTTCATGTGGTGTCTGGAGATCCCAGCAGCTCCCAGGTGCTCCCAGACTTTTCCAGATCCACCTCTGTGGGTTTTGTTAATGGCTCTCCAAGTTATCCCAAAGCTCTGCTCAGGAAAAAAAAAACTGTGGATCTGCTCAGCCCGTCCCAAATCCTGCAGGATTTTCTGTCCTGTAGGCAGCTTAATTAATTAATAATATTTAATGTCTCAGTGCTTGCACCTTCACGTGGTGTCTGGAAATTCCAGCAGCTCCCAGGCTTCACCAGATCCACCTCTGTGGGTTTGTTAATGGTGCTCCCACTTATCCCAAAGCTGTTCCCAGGGAAAAAAAACCCATGGATCTGCACAGCCCATCCTGAATCCTTTAGGATTTTGTGTCCTGTAAGCCACTTAATTAATTAATAATGGTTAATGTCTCAGTGCTTGCACCTTCACGTGGTGTCTGGAGATCCCAGCAGCTCCCAGGTGCTCCCAGACTTTTCCAGATCCACCTCTGTGGGTTTGTTGTGGGATCAGGGCTCCAGCAGCAATCCCTTTCCATCCTGATCTGAGGTTTATCCACCCAGCTCCTTCCCAGTCATCCCAACGGACCCCAAGGTTTTCTCGCATGGAATGCTTCCAGAACATTCCCTGGACCTGAGCAGGTCCCACAGGGTGAGAGATGGCCCCAGAGGTGCCGGGATGGAAAAGCTCCAAATTCCCAGTGTGTGGAAGGGCTGGGAAGAGCTTTCCAAAGGTACAGTCAACTTCCAGCACCTCTGATGTCCCTCTGGAACCCAGGAGAGCTCCCAGCCTTCCTGGGGAAGGGCTTGGAGATGTCCTGGAGCTCTTTGGAGCTCCAGGGAAGGATAATTATCCCCAAATCCATGATAGCAGGACCTGGGCCACTCCAAACTCTGCTCCCCGCTGGCACAATCACTCCCTGGTTCTCCTGGAGGAGCAGCTGCCAACCTGCTCCGGCTGAAAAACAGGGAAAAACAAACAAATCCCGATTTTTGATGACTGGAAATGCTCCAAGCTCTCCTGTTCCTGTTGGGAGAGCAGCTCCATCTCTGGTAACCCCAGTAAATTCCCCTTTGGGATAAAGTTGTTATCCTGGTTTCCACTTCCAAGCCTGGTGTTTTTGGGAACATTTCAGATTCCCTGTGGCTCTTTCTAGGAGATTGAAGCCTGGAAAACCTTGGATGTTTGTGTTCCTGAAGTTTGGAGAGGTTGGGGTTGTGCTCAGTTGACTCCAGACCCTCGGGGTGATCCAGTGCCAGCTTCCCAGGGATCACCAGCGCCGTGTCCCTGTCACTTCAACACTTCCTTTAGGTCCCCACAGCCAAAAACTGGGATTATGGGATGCATCCAAAGCCCTCATCCTCTGCCAGATCTGATTTACCCAGAAAATCTTTTACAAATTGGGATAATTTGGAAGAGCCAAGCCCCAGCAGGTTGGATTTTGGGAGGTTGTGCCTTCAGGAGCTGCTGGAAGGTCGATCCTGGTGGGATTTTTTTCCCTTCCCAGCACCCTTGGGAAGTGTCCCAAGCCCTTTTTCCCTCCAAAATATGGATCTGGGAATGCAGGAGTGCACGACACCCCCCACCCCCCAACTTTGCATGTGGGGTCCCACCCCACCTCCTGCTCTGCTGGGCTCTGGATTTATGGAGACCTCCTGGAGAAGTTGTGCTCCTTCCAAACAGCTGGATTCCTTCCTGGAATGGGAATTATTCCATGTTATATTTAATATAAATTATGTACATTTATATAATTTATATATTTTTTTTATTCATCGGGAAAAAATGGGATAGTGGACCCCCCCGTGGCAGGGGGTTGGAAACGGATGGGATTTAAGGTCCCTTCCAACCCAAACATTCCATGATTCCCAGGAATATTTTATCAAATTTAAACTCACAACTCCAGACCTTCCCAGCCTCCCCTAAAGCTGCATCTCGTGCATGCAGGTTTTAGGTAAAAGCCTTAATTCTGTGGATTTCGTGCTGATTTTCAAATTTTCTCCTCAAATTCCATCACCACCACAGAAGGTGACATGAGGATGGAAAAATCCCTGTCTGGAAGAGGGATCCAAATGCAGGATTTAGGATTTCCTGCATTTGGGAATTAGGGAGATACCTCAAAGTGGCGTTGATTTGGATTAGAGTGGTTTAGAGTAAAAATACCTGAAAATTTGAATAAAAATTTGGTGTGGAGCCTGGAGATTCCATGTGCTCCTCTCAGACCACTGGATATTCCCAATCCCTCTTCCATAACCTGTTTGTGCTCCGTGCAGGATGCGGGACACCAGCAGGAAAAACAGTGTTTTTGCCCAATTCCAGAAAAACGAGTGGGAATTGGGGAGATCCCAAAGTGGCATTGATTGGCATGAAAAATGCCCCAAAAATTGGAGTAGAGCCTTGAAATTCCACATGCTCATCCCTGAGTGCTGGACATTCCCAATCCCTGTTCCATGACCTGTTTGTGTTCCGTGCAGGATGCGGGACACCAGCAGGAAAAACAACGTTTTTGCCCAATTCCGGAAAAACGAGCGGGACAAGCAGAAGTTGATCGACACCGTGGCCAAGCAGCTGCGCGGCCTCATCAACAGCCACCACTCCTGAGGGGCTCGGGATCTCCTTCCCGCAGCCTGGACTTCGGGAATCTCGTTGGGAGAGAAGATTTGTATTTTTTTATTCGCCTGGAAAGTCTCCGCGGAGCCTCCCCCCGACAGCAAAACGCTCCCGGTGGAACAATCCTGGGAAAAGAGGTGGTGGCAGGAGTCTCCCGGATAAACTCCTATTTTCAGGGGTTTAGGAAGTGATGGGAATTCTTGGAGCCTGGGAGAAGTTCACACCTGGACTGGGTTGTTTTGGGTTTTTTTTTTTTTGTCAAAGCCAAATTGAAGGGATCATCCTGCCTTCCTTTTGTTAATTTATTCCCTTGGAAAACTGAGAAATGTGGGAAGAGCCGTGGGTTCTCTGGGCAGAGGGAAGAGGGTCACCCTGAGTGTGCCCCGTGGTTTGGATTTAGGTAGGAAAAAGGGATTTCCCAGGGTTTTCTTCTCCTCTTTTCCCCCTCCATGGGCTGATTCCACGTTAGTCTGCAAATCCCTGGAATCGCGACCCTTTCCCGCGTGTCCGTAACCATCCCTGAGCTCCACTCCGGGACCTGCCAGGGGCTGTGGGATCATGGAGAAGGGTTTGGAGCAGCCTCCTGGATCGGATTTGGGAAGGGACAGCTGGAGGATAATCTGGGAATGTGTCCTGTGGCAGCACTCCAGGGCTGGGATGCTGCTGGACACATCCATGGATGGGGAACGGGAAGGGATGGATGCTCCACAGGGATGGTGGGAAGGCACACTGGGATCTCCCAGTGTCCAGGAGGGGTTTTTCCCTCTCTTTTCCCTGCTGGTGTCCCATCCTCCCTCTCCTCCTGATGGCTCCATGGGGAAAACATCCCTCAGCCACCCTGGTTGGAGCTGGATCAGTGGGAATCTCCTGGACACGTCCATGGATGGGGAGCAGGAAGGGATGGATGCTCCACAGGGATAGAAGGAAGGCACACTGGGATGTCCAAGGAGGGACAGATTCCCAGAGAGGGAAGGATTTTCCCTCTCTTTCCCATGCTGGTGTCCCATCCTCCCTCTCCTCCTGATGGCTCCATGGGGAAAACTGCCCCGGGAAGTTTTGCAGCTGAACCAGTGGGAATCTCCTGGAGCAGTGGGAGATTCCCCATGGAGCAGCGCGGCTCCAAAGTGCCTGTGGATAAAATTCCCCCTGTCCTGATGGTCCCCAGAAATCCTCTGCTCAAACCAGGCGGCCACCAACAGGATTTAATCCCAGGATTCCACTTCCAGAGGGGGATTTTCGCCCTTCTCATCTTGTCACCCTTTTGCCTCTAATTCCTCACGTTATCCAGCCGCATTCCCAAACCCTCAAAGGGAATTCCGATCTCCCTGGTGGTTGTTACAGCCCTGAACTGCTGCTCCCGTGCCCATTCCCAACCCTCTGGATGCACCAATCCAAAGGTTTTACCATCCTGCCTTGCTCCTCAGCAATATTCCGGGGTTGGTTTTCATTAGGAGAAGGTTCCATTGGCTCAATCCCAAAATTAAACGGGAACACGGTCAGGAATGACCTCCTGGAGCTCTTGGGCTGTCCCAGCCATCTCCAGCTACGGGGACCAAGGGATTGTTTTCATTAATAAGAGGGAAAATTTGTAATTCCTTGGATTTGGAGAGGGATAGGGGGTTCCTTGTGACCTCCTCCTAGAGGGATATGGAAGAGGAATGACGGGAAAAGCAGCAGGTGAAGGAAAGTTGGAGTCAGCGTGGCCAGAAAGGGATCAGCTTTGGAGCCAGAGGGACAAGGGATGGGAATTCTGCAAGTGGGATGGAGAGGGAGCAGAAACCCTGGGACAAAGGGAAGGGATTTTGTGCTGCCATCCTGAAATCCCATTTTCCCTTCCCATATTGCACTCCACGAGGTATTCCCACAAAAAAATCCCCAGCACAGCCTCGTTTCAGATGCTCCAGGCAGCTCCCACCCTTCCTAAATCCCATTTTGGGGAGCTGGGCTCCCCTTCCCATCTCCCTGAGCTGTAATTCCAGGAGCAGCCGCCTGGGATGGGTTTCCTCGCTCCTTCAGGTTCTTTTTGGAAAAACCAGGATTGGGATCCCCCAAACCGGCTCCTGGCACTCGGGATTTGCCGCTGGGAAAGTCAAATCCGGCCAAGGGAGAGATTCTGGGAGTTCCTGATCTCGGGAGGTCAAGAGCCGGAACCGCAAGTCAGAGCCCAGGATGAAAAATGGGATTTTGGGACTCTGGTCCCAATTAACTTTTTGTTCCAAAAGATGTTCCATCACTTCCAAACAAAATTAATCTTTTAAACAGATTGCCCAAAAAAAAAAAAAAAAAAAGAGTCCTGGAAGACATCCCAAATCCCCTCTCAGTCCCTTCCTAATGATGGGTGTCCTCCGACACGGATGGAATTGCTTAGGAGGGAAAAGTCGCTGCAGGGAATTTAAAAGGGGGGTGGGAAAAAGGGGCAGGAGCCAAATCCGAGATTTCCAGCTTCCCAGAAAAAAAAAATAATGCTGCTCCTACACCTCGCTCCACATCCTCTGAACATTCCTTAGTGGATTTTGTTTTTTAAGAAAAGAAAATTGGATTATCCCCTAATTTTTCCCAGCTCCAGCAAAAAATATTTCAGCAGCAGTGGGGAAAAAATTATATTAAAACTCAAATTTGGCTTCCCAAGAAGCTTCTTTCCTTCTTCAGTTGTCAGGCATTCCAGGAGTTGGGAATAATCCCATTAAAGGTGTCCAAAGTGGGAATTTGCAGCCCAACCCACCCATGGGATGTTCTCCCTGAGCCACCAGCGCCTGGGAGGTGGGAAAGGAGGGGTTTTCCTGGGATTTTTGGGTATTCCTGGGGCTGGAGTTCGAGCCAGATGCTCCCAGTGATTTTTGCACTTTGTTCCAGATCCAATCCCAGCTCCCGCTCGGGTGGGGACGGGAGGAGTTGGGATGATGCTGTTTTGGGATTGTTTTCTCCCGGATTGGCTGCTTTGGGGAAGCTGGAATTTCGGACAGGAGCTGTGGGCAGGGTCGTGGTGGCCCCAAATTCCTTGGAAGTGAGGCTGGGATGGAGCTGGGGCGGCTCCGGGGGCATCGCTGCCGCCACATCCCTTGTGCCGAAGTTTTGGGATCAAATTCCAACCCGAATCCAAATCCCAGACAGAGATTCCTCACCCTTGGGTGTCTCCTGCCTCCGCTGGGCTTTTCCCGTTTGTTCTGGGTTGGGTTTGGTGCTTTTTGGGGTTTGGAGCATCCAAACACTTTCCCGTTTGTTCTGGGTTGGGTTTGGAGCTTTTTGGGGCCCTGGAGGGGTTTGGAGCATCCAAACAGTCTCCCATGCTCCGGTTGGATTCGTGTCCCATCCCTTGGTGCCATAGGATTTTTGGGATCTCTATCCCATTTTTCCTACAGTTCCACGGGGCTGGAGACCCCTCGCATCCCTCCGGGATGATTCCCTGTTTATCCCACTGCTGGCAGTGTTCCAAGAGAACACAAATCCCATAAATCCCATCCCAGTGACTCTGGGATGATCCCAGCTCTGCTGTCCACTGGGAACGCCGTGGATCGGCAGGAAGCAACCCAAAACTGCCAGGATTGGCTGGGATTCACCCCAAAAATTCCAGGATGGAGTGGGGGAGCTCAGGAAGGGCTTGCTTCACCCCAAGGCTGCTGCTCCAGCCCCTCTCTTGCCCCCAGGGCTGGATTTGGGAAGCTTTTCCCAGAGCTGGGATCCATCCCCACCTGCAGCTTCCCAAAAATTCCACGGGCAGCTCTGGAATGCTGTCCTATCCAAGCTGCTCCCTGCCTTGGCTCATCCCTCAGATTCTGTTTTGCCAAGAAAACCACCCACACCCCCGTCCCATCCCATCCCATCCCATCCCATCCCTCCCTGCTCGCCGGCTGCCAGGGTTGCCTTTTCCCGTTGATTTTGGGGTGGAAGGACCTGATTTTGGGAACCAAGGTGGTGAAAACAGCTTTTTTTGCACAAGTCGTTGCACAATAAGGGGAAAATTTAGCAAATTAGGTTTAACTTTAAAGGGAATTTTGTTGTTGGTTTGTTTGGTTTTTTTTTTCCTTAAAACTCGCTAGCAGAGTTACTGATTCCAAGAGGAAAAAGAGCTGGAATGGTTGGAGAAAGGACTGCATGGTTTACAGGTTCAATTCTGTTAGAAATTAGCATGTTGGACATTTATCCTGGTGTAATTCCAATTAAACAAATACAGCATTTAACTGTTTCATTAATGCCTCATCCGGCTCTGTGCATCCCCGGGGAAAAACCTGACCCCTGAATCCCATAAAAGACAAAATTCCACATCTCCTTTGGACACCTGGCTGCTGGAACACTCACACGGGGGATCCAAGGGGAAGAAAATCCCTGGATGAGCGCTGGATTCCACCCTCCCTCTCTGCCCTGAGCAGAAGCCAAGTTTTGCCAAAATTCTGGGGGGATTTTAATTGGTTTCTATCAAAAAATTCCTCCCTGGAAAGGCGGGGAGGGGCTGGGCTGGAATTCCCAGAGCAGCTGTGGCTGCCCCTGGATCCCTGGAAGTGTCCAAGGCCAGGCTGGACACTGGGGCTGGGATCCACCTGGGACAGTGGGAGCTGTCCCTGCCCATGGATGGCGTTGGAACGGGATGGGATTGAAGTTCCCTTCCAAACCATTCTGTAACTCCACGATTTCTTCTGCCACGGCTCCGAAAACACCTGCAATGGAAGGGATGGACCAGGAGCACCAGGGCTCCCAGGAGCGAGGAGTGTGAGGAAGGGGCAGCAGGAAGCTGAAACCCAGAGCGCGGGAGAAGGAGCAGATCCGAGATGGGCTGCCTGGCGATAAGGAGCGAGATAAGGCCAAGATAAGGCCGAGATAAGGCCGAGATAAGGCCGAGATAAGGCCGGGAGGGCTGGACGGGCTCCAGGAGGATCCAGCGCGGAGCGAGACGGGCAGGGCGAGAAATGCGGGCACGGGAGGTGCAGCAGCCGCATCCGGGCTGGAAACGGGGTCACGGGAATGCCGCGAGAGGGTGAGGATGGTCCAGGTGGCACCAAAACGAGGGTGAAAATCAGGATTGGGATAAACAGGACTTTCCTCCTTCCTTCCCTCCCCGGTGCTTCCCGGCGCATCCCAGGTGGGAAGTCAGGAGACAGGAATCCCCCCTCCCTGCCCCATCCCGCGCCCCACGTGGCTCCAGCCGC